TATTTGTTTAAGATAAAATGAAACTGGAAAACTGTTTCACTGCCAGTAAAATGTAACATCCTTGATCCTCCAATAAAAAGATTAAAATATAAAAATCTGCTGCCTACATTACCCACAATGCAACTCGACCACCAACATTCAGAATTTGATCCATTCAGTTCAATAACATTTGGAAAGTCTAGAAGTAAAGTGCAATGAACTTTAAGTTAGCATCTTGGCCACCTGAAGTCTTTCTAGTGTGATTGCTCTATGGGCTGCATAATGTGTAAGCATATGTGGAAGATTAACTTTTTTTGTCTTAATACGCCACTGAGCAGCTTCCATAGGAATAAACAGAGCCCATCCTCCAACGCTGTATCCAGTTCTCCCTTAATACAGGCATGCTTCAGGTGTGTTATACTGGTAGTGGCTAGCCTCAAGCAGGCTGCTTCTTCTCATCTAACTCTTGCCAAGAATGTGAGTAAGCATATTTCCAAAAAATGCCAAATTACCCTTAATAAGTAATTTAGAAAGGTCTAATAGACTTTTATTATTATTACTTTAAAACTCACTGGAAACAAAATCCTTTCTGTAGTTGTGAAGTAGCAGTATGTAAATTCCAACACAGTCTGGACAACCTTCGCAGAGGCTGAAACTGCACCCTCTATGGAAATATCTTGCAAATTGTGTTTTTCATACACATCACTTGCCAAATAAAAACAGGCCTTTCCTTTTATTATCAAATGAAAAACATATTTGTTTTGTGCTCTGCGGATAGTAAACAGAAAGCTGCACCCTTGCCACCCACCAGGGAGTTTGCCCTTCTGCATAACCTTCGTCCGTGTTCAGCACATGCTGCTTTACCTGTTCATGTCGTCCACTCCATCTGCTGCAAAGTAGAAACTCTTGACCTTGGGGTGACATGCTTTGAAAGCACTAGAGACATAGGAGGAACAGAGGGAGTTATTTTTGTGCAGGATAACATTTATTCACGAGAGCATGCTAACTGCACAACACATAATATATGCAATAGACTGTTTTCATCATGCACTTACTACTTCTTGCGACATTCACTGGCCCGGTCGATCTTAAACTCTGGAAGACTGACAAAACCCTCTGCCTTCTCATCCTGAACGGAAAGAGACAGATATCAGGAGAAAGATAAGATGCTAATGCAATGTGGGAAAGGCTGAAGGAAAATTCTGGTTTATTTCAATCTGGTATATTTCCCATAATTATTGTGACTCTGTGGGCCTCCTAGAGTTTCTAAATAAACATGATTTTTACATGAATCATTTCAAATCAGGAAGTCTGACTAAAAGTAAACACAAAAAGTAGTCGACTGGGACGGGTCAACTTGCACGTCACTTTGTTTACACAAAAGTGCTTAGATAGCATAGATAGCATCCCATTATGTAGCTGCTGTGTGCTTTGAGCTAAATGCTAACGTCAGCATGTGCTTGCAAAGACTACGGTAGGATGCTGATGTTTAGCATGTATAATGATTAATTAGTTTAGCGTGCGGGCATGCTAACATTTGCTGATTAGCATTAACCACAAAGTACAGCTGAGGTTGATGGGAATTGCATTGATGTATTTGGTCATAAAACACACGACAAAAAAGTAAACTCAATAAAAATCCCCCAAATCTACCTCATGGTGGCGATAGATAAAAAGTCGGGGGATCACCAAGGTTATAAGTTAATTGAAGTTATTAGTTATAAGTTTGGGCATCGTAGATATTTGGAACAGATTTAATGGCAATCCATTTAATGGTTGCTGAAATATTTCAGTCTGGGCCAAAGTGATGGTCAGACACTGATAACTCTATAGCCATGGCCAAAAAACAAGAAGTTCTTACACGACTTTGAAACATTTACAAAGACTTCAGAGAATTTGTACTTCAAACAAATGTAAGCTGAAATCAGGCAGAAATCTCTTTATCATTCAAATCAAGGTCTTCCTGACTCATCCTGTGGCTGTGATATTGAAGCAGAAGTCGTGACTTAACTTCTACACAGTATTTTACTCCCTTGTCTTTGTCACAGAGCAGCACTATTTCCTTGCATAGCTCCTGTTACAGCAACCACAAATTATGACAAATTTCATCATCGCATCAATTTTTGGGAAACTGCCACTTGGAATACTCTTTCGCCATCTAGTGTCAATAAAAATTGAGATAATTGGCTGGAAAAGGAGAGGACAAGAATAACAAGAGACTTGCCTCCTCATTGATGTACCAGTACAGGCAGTTGTCCTTCAAAACAAACCAGTACTTCTTCCATTTCTGAGAAAAGTAACCCTTTGCATCTCTCTTTCTCCACAGCCAGCCCTCGCAGTCTCCTCTGCCCAGCGCCTTGCAGGAAACACGCCTCCGACTCAGGGAGGCCAAACTCCGTCCTGGAACAACACAAAAGGAAGCGTGAAGGCGGCGTTGACAAATACAGAGAGAATATAAATCTGAAAACTGAATGACAATTTGTCTCGCTTTCAACCCAACTTTCTTTCGAATGGTAGAGGATAGTACTAATGCTACTTATAGGTGTTCACTTTTTCACAGTGGTGGGAATTGAAGCATTCACAAAATGCCACATCCTAATGTCGCATTTATTCTTGGCAAGAGTTCAGCCTCTGGATTCGACAGAATGCTGCAGCACTGCAGTAAGGTAAGAGGTGTTTCATGAAACTTTTTTTCCTTCTGGCGTAAAAAGCCCTGTAACATTTTTTTCACAGCAGGCTCCTCATTAGAGATTAGCGGGGGAAACTTCGCTCCCAGTTGAGGGCCGCCAAGAAACTTTTATTGTGCTGTATCAAAAGTCTTACGCCTTTAAAGGAGAACACAATTCGATATCCCAGTTATTTCTGTGGCAACGGAAAGTGCAGAGTTCAGTATATCTCCAAACGAAACAACTTTCTTTCACAGTGCTAGACACAAGAAAACTAAAGCTCAAACACACTGCATGAAAAGGTTTTAAGCCTAGAGAGACCCTGAAGATAATTAACAGGTAATATACTCTGATATAGAGGAAATGGTACATTCTGAATATGTACAAAAGAGCACAATTCATTTTCTGAGCAGCAGCAGCCTGATACCATCACCAATTTGAGTTTTGGCTTCAGGAAACGCTTAGTCATTTTAGAAAATGAAGATTGGCCTCAGCATGGACCACAGGGAGTAACTAATATTCCATTACCTTTTTGATAAGGGTGCTACTCGGATTATTTAAAACATCAATAAATCATTATCATCGCATTCATTTTCAAACTTTGCTTTAATTGCTGTAAACAAACAAAGCCGTCGCCCGAGAAAAGGTGCAGATGGAGCTAAAGCTTTTCAGCGCTTCTCACAATGGCAGATGGTGAAACAAGTGAAAGAATCACTTCCAACATGTTGATCCTCGTTAGTGTGGTGAGAGGAAAAAAAAAAAGCTTTGGTCAAAGAGGCAAAGAAACTGATACCAGAGAGTTGGAGAGAGGACAATTAGGGAGTAAAGACATCTAAAAGAGAGGAAGCAAAAGGACTTTATGGGATACAGTATCTGGCTTCCAACCCTTGTCTCATTTGTTATATGTAAGTATGTATAAAGATACATATTCCCATTTTAATGCTCTACAAATGTTTCATCTCAACATTGTGACATAAAGAAATGCTAACTTTCATATGAATGTTCATGTGGACTAAGTGCACAGTATTAAAGCGGAAAGATGGAAAACTGCCTCACTTGCAATCCAGTCTGGACTCATGAGAATCTGCGAAATCATCAAGATGTGTTAAAATGCAAATACAGTCGTCTCCGCACACTGTGTGAGAAAAATGTTCTGACTTTATCATGAGTCTGTTGCTGAGACTCAAGTTGCAGCAGAAAAATAATGAGACAACTTCAGTAGGATCAATTTTTAACTTGCAGGATATAGATTTCTCAGGTCAGAGAAGTTTTTATTAATGTCTCACCAGATGATATAAACAAGAAGGTGTGACTGATTGGTTACCGACCAGCGTCTTTTCACCTACGTGTATTTAAACATTATTAAGAGTGGACAGATCTCCACCATATGTGTCTGGGGAAATGTGGGAGGGGACATTTTACCGTACCTCTACTGGTCCCTGTAGGCCAAATTGCCTTTTAAATTATGTCAAGCCTTCAGGACATTTCTTTATTGTGTGTTGTATTCACAGCGTCTTTCTTAATGGGGATATACTTCCCCATATTTCAACCCATTTGCTATTAATCAGAATGTTCATTTTCATGACACGTCCCTCCCGATCCACGTGTAACGGCGATCTGTGCATCACTAGCCTCAGCCTGTATGCATGAGAGTGGAGTGGAATGAAGGGGAGACAATTAGGGCTCTCTCTTAATAGTTGACTAAACTGTTACTTGCTGAGAGTCTTAGTTGACCCACTTTTCATGAGTCGGATAGTCACAGAAAAAATACAACACCGCTTGTGAGCTGTGCCTTGTCACCAGGACAAAAGTATCAGGGGATTGCTGCAACACGTGCCTTGCTCTTGTGCTAACTCTACTAGTTGTCGTTAGCTATACGTAGCAGTCCTATTAGCTGACACTAACCATACTGGGAGCTCGAGGGATTGGGGGAGGTTTTGTTTTTACATTACTAGCATAGGATATTGCATAAGAGAATGAGCACCAGATCCTGGACCAGTTGGTGAAGAGGAGTGAGGAGTAAGCAGCTAGTATAAAGCAGAGCAGTCAATTAAATAGGATTTTCTGACATATACAGACATACACACACACACACACACACACTGACCAGCGCAATGACATATGACTATGATATGATGACTGAAATACTGGGTGCTGAAGCAATTAGTCAATTACACAGTTAGTTATAAGTTATTGGTAACACTTGTGTTTACCCTACTATTTCATGTTGAAATGGCTGCTGTAAAAAAGGTCTACGCAACCAAAAAATTTTCTCTTTTATTTTATTTTAGCAATAATTACCATTATATATGTTTTTTTCCTTTAAACTTTCTGGGAAATTATTTGCAAATTACAGACCCGTAAAATGAAGTGTTACTAAGATAAGTGGTTCAACTGAAGAAGAGGCTGCTCTCACATTTCTGTACATCGTCCATTAGCTCAGCTTCTTGTGAATGACCACAACTGGAAAGTGTCGGCAGCTCCTTGCTTGAAACCAAACAGGTGGCGTCTCTGCTTACCTTTATTCTTCTTCCTGGTCTTTGACTGCAGAGAGGAGGACTGTTGGTATGTCTGAGAGCGTGTTGGAAAAGAAGAGAAGAAGAGGGAGGGTGAGCAGGCTGTCAGGATGAATCAGTGGCCTTTGTTTGCTGCAAAGAATCCTGGGATATAAAAGATGACAGATCTTAGGGAGCGGAGGAGAGGAGGCAGAAGGCACAGATACAAAGGGAAACTCTCCCTCTCTCATTATCTCTTTCTCACGCAGACACACACACACACACACATGTGCGGGTGGAAAAGTCAACCTCATGGAGGACTTTTGCAGCTCTCACACCTCTAAACATAGAACAGAAGGGCAGGAAGGGAGGGAGCGGTGGCACAACAGGACGTCCAGGTGATGGAGAAAATGTGGGAAAATAAAGCTCAGGGGCCTCGCGGGATTGAGCAGAAATTTCAGTAAGCAAAACATAAAGGACGGACATCTAGGAGAGAGGTTTTTTAAGGTCTGAGACTGAGTCCGTTAGTTAGCCATGAGCCACTGCTTGTTTTTTTTAGCCAGTGTTTGTTCACATTTTGGTCAGCTGGCACCAATAAATGTAATGCCGGATTAACTACCAGCAGTTCTGTTTTGCAGTGTACCCATTGACTGTCACTGGATTAGTTTGATACTGTAGAAAACGTGATGATTTTCAAGCAAGTTGCTGCTGTTATAAGGTTTGTGTTTGTGTGCTGTACTTAAGTACAAATATGAGGTACTTGTACTTTCCTTGACTGTTTTCTTCTCATACCACCATATACTCCTACTACTACTTATAACAAATTAAGATGTTTGCACACAAAACCCAAAAATGGCTTCTTATTTTTAATAATAATTGTACTTAGTTTAAAATTGTATAGTTTTAACTTTTGGACAAAACAAGCATTGTGAAGATGTCACTTTGGGCAGGGTAATTATGACATTTTGCACATTATTTCTCAGTATTTTCAGAATTTCTCCAAACCAAACAATCAATTGATTATTGGAGAAAATAATCAGCAGATTAATCCATAGTGAAAATAATCATTAGTTGCAGTCCTGCATGAAAGAGTTCAAAATGAGCTCCACCTTAACCAACAACAGTAAAATCTTGCTTTTACATTAATGCATGTGAAATAATAATCTAATGATATGATATATAATAATATTAATAACTAAGTAATAGTTTACATTGTAAATTTTCCTGATTATTGTCACATTTCTTTTACTCTGTCATATTTGCAATGCATATTTTTGCTTTTGGTGGTGGTGTGGTATTATTACTTTGAGCCACTGCTGATGGATTAATGGACGTTTATCTGCAATGGTGTAAAGTGTAAGTCACATTGAATCTAGAATGGTGTGTTTCATGTCTCTGTCATGACCTCCTCTGCTCCCCCTTCAGCTCCTCACAGTTTGAAATCCTCTGATCTAAAACACTCAGCTCTGGCCCGCATATTTGAGATGTGACCTCTCTCGACAGGTCAGATGGGGCCACACACCAGCTCTGATGTCACGATATTACACATGTCTGAGCCTGGAGCTCGGCCACTCACGGCCCCACGCTCAGCAAGACGAATGACATGGTCCCGCCCACACCCACTGACACGCCATCTGCCATCGCAGCAGCCATGCACACTGTAAACACACACGCACACACAAACACATTTAATTTCAAAAGAGATGCTGTCAAGATGTATAAGGTCACTGCCGGCCAAACTGACTGTCTGGACCTGAGAGCGACGAGCTCAGACGGACAGCCAGGGCGGACAGATGTCATGGAAATGACAGGGGGGTAATAATGAGTCAGCATTCGCTCAGATCACACTTCACTACAGCGCTTTTTCCTTGAGGGGTAAAAGCCCAAATTTGTCTTTTTCCCTTCAAATCTTTGAGTCTCAAAACAAATAAGAGAGGAAGCAGACGCTTACGTCATTTACCTTGTTTTTACTCTGAGGAGGCAACTGAGGGGAAAAGTCAGAGTTTCATAACCGTGTTTGATCAACGTTATGCAACTATATAATGAAATCTTGAAGCTACTACTTGCAAATTGAGGTAGGTAACTTTATTTTTCACTCTTCAAATGCTGGTACTCCTTTCTTAATCAGTCCTTGATGCTACGAGCTCATTGTTGCTTAGAACTATTTCTTTAAAAGGAATAGTTCAAGGGGGGCTGGGTCGGCGTCTGGGTTTGTTGTTCTGGTCCAGTGTACGAGCTTAATCCAGTTTGATTTTATGCAAATTGACTGAACTGGGATTTGTCAGTACTCTACGCTTTGGCTAATTAAAAAGAAGCAGCTCTCAGCGAAATCCTTTAGTGTAACTGACTACAGCTGAGTAGACGGTGGAGCAGAAGTCTTCATGGTAAGTTGCTAACTAGTTTGTGAATTAATGGAAAGTTAATGAACAATGACTCATCATTTCCACTTTTCAGTATAATTCTAATATAACCCTTTCCCTGACAGCAACTCATACTTTACATTATGGCATATATTTGCTATGTTACCAAGGTAACTAGCCAGCTATTGTTTGTCAGTACAGTCAGTAATGTAGTTTTGATCCACTCTTGTTTGCCCTGTTTTAGTTTCTGCATTACTCTGTTAATACAAACTCAACACTTCCTGTATTCATTTCAAATTAAAACCCCACTAGCCATTCAGTGGACAGAAACCCTTCATGTCTTGACAAGGCTTTTATTGTGAAACATACACGTTGTCTTGACTTGCAACTCCACTTTCATTCATGGACTCATTATGTTCCACTCACTCACTCACAACACCTAATGGTAAAATTCGGTTTTAGTACCGGTACTTGGTTTAATATCAAACCAAATATTTTTACACTGGTGCAACAATACACTTTTTTGCTATCTTGCCAGGAGTTAGATGAGAAAATCACTACCACTATTATGTCTGTCTAATTATATAAATCAAAATATTGCTTGGCTTAGCAACAGGGGGAAACAGCTAGCTTGGCTCAGTCAAGGGGACACAAAATCTGCCAACCAGAGACTCCAAAGCAAGGTGTGCATTACATCCAAAACTTATTTTAAAAAGACGATTGAATAGGATTCACTCGACAAAATGATTTACTTACATGATAAATGGAGGCGGGATCTCTCGGTGGAGAATCTCTCTGATTCGTCTGGAGGACGTAGTGGGAGGGGCTTTGGCTGTGGTGGCTCCGCCTCTTGGCCCGTTTGGCCGTGTCATTGGACCGTTTGCCTGGACGAGCTGTATGAGAGGAGTAGTCCTCAGAGCTGGTCCTCTCGTCCACGCCGGACAGTCCGACGTAACGCATCAGTGACGCTTCTGTGAAATTAACCAATCAAATTTAGCACACACACGTGTCAAATATATCAAATTCACATACAAACACATCAAACTTCTCCATCCTAGAGTAATTCTTAGAATATTTTGTGGTATTGATTGATTGTTGATGCTCTTCATTAGTGCAATAGTTTTTTAATCTCACTCAGGTTTTCTGGGCTAATTAGATACTAAATAAATAATATATACATAAAACACAATGCCAAAAGGTCACATCGCTGAAAGACTCATTAAAAAAAGATTGCATAATTTGATGTTTAATCACAGCATCACCAGTGAGCTAGTCATTCAAGCAAACATGGATGTAAACATTGAAAATCCTGGTTGCTTGTTTAAATGACAAATGTTGTCGTATTTCTGTCAAATGCAGTACTGTACCAAGTTTATCAAAAATATTTCAGAATATATTAGGCTGACGGATGGCTCCGTATGACCCACCATCTGTCATAGTGTGGGGAACAATAATGCTGTTTTTCCGTGAGTCTGTGTTGAGTCCATGCATGCGCGAGCACATCTGTGTGACGACGACTGTGTGAGTGTTTATTGGATTAGTTCAGGTGCACACTCTCTAAGGCTTCTCCATCTTTTCAGACCAACTTCCTCTTCACCGTTCCACTGGGGAGGAAACTCAGGTCTCACTACCTCTACTTCCCACCTTGTCCTCCCCTGGTTGCTAGGCAGCGGCCAGAGGAAAGTGAGACACCGAGAAGAGCTGCTGTCAGCGTCACCATGGCAACTGCGTGAGTGATTCAGGTTGAGGTCAGGGAGAATAGTCTTTTTTTTTCTGTTTCTGCCTCCTCTCATCCCTCCTTTTCTCCCTCCTCCTCCTCCCCCTTCCTCTCTTTCTATCGCTTTTATTCTTTCTCCATTCATCGCTGCCTTTCATTTTCTCTGCCTTTGTGCCAACTGTCTACCTTTTTTCCCCTCCCTTCCCTTCTCATCCCCTCTTATTTCATTTCTCTGTGATGCTAATCACAGAGAGAATTAGAGGATGGAGGCGCATTGATCTCCACACACACTGATCTCTTCGTAATACAGAGAGACGGGAACATTTAACTGAATCTAACAGGCTCTTCAGGAGGTGCACACACACACATATGCACTCCACACGCCAGCACTCACCTCTGCGGCTTTCTCTGTTAAGCTTGGCTGGATCTTCATAGTCGCCCACCCAGTTACACTCCACAGGCATGGAGATGGGCCTCAGCCTGCCTACAAGTAAACACAATTATAAAACTTAATATTGTTAAGTTTCTGGTTCCATTTTTATACTCTGATATTTGATATTTAGGATTCTTTTTATTTATTTTATCTGTAATGTATAGAGCGGCATCACTTTCTAAAACTTTTTATCAACTGCCGCTGGCTGCCAGGTGGGTTCCCAGCCTCATGATTGTTTTTTTTAAAGTGGTGTTATACAGCAGAATGAGAATGAACTCAATCCCTCCTCTTATTTTCTCTCTCTCACACACACACAGACACACACTTTAATCATAAGAGCGTACCATATGTAGGCGTGGTACAGTACACGGGCTCCTCCTCTTCTCGCCGGCGAGACTCTTGATCCAGGAAGGAGTTTGGTGACTCAGATCGCTTAGCAACGCTGACGCCACCATGGTTACGAGATGCCTCATCTCCAGACAAGGCTCCTGTCTCATCTCTATGGCAACAGCAGAGGCGGATTTAACGGCAAACAAGTGTACATCAACGTCAAAAGCTCCTCTTCTGGCTCTACTTTCTTATCAGATTTCTTTTTTTTTGAAAGTACACAAGCACTCTACCTGGGTGTGTATGGCTCAGCAGGTGGAGGGGGGATGTGAAGGTCCTGGAGGGCAGAGCTTTTGGTGGGTGTGCCTGAGGGTGTGGCCGAACTGCTGCCTGGGCTTCTGGTTGGCTGCAAAAAGCAAAAGTGGATATGGTTAGGAGAAACTTTCCTTAAACAATTTTTACAGGTTGAATCAACTTCATCTTTAATGTCTCCAAAGGATTATTTAATTTAAATGATTAATTGAAAGTTGGACTTTATGTAGTTTTAACCTCCATTGCTATTAGTTATAATAACTGTTGAAGCCAATATGGGTGTTTTAATGTCTTGGAGAAGTAGTATCTGAGCAGTTGCACTCCAGACCAGTAGGCGGCAACAACATGGTTACAGTGTTGGCTTTCACTATTACAAGTGCAACACATTGCACCTGTTTGCATGGCTGGGGGCAAAACAGTTCCAGCAAGTCAAACACAATTGCAAGATATCCACGAAAAGCTAAATCAAACTTCACATCCACGGCGTTCAAACCCAATGCAGCCTACCACAAACAGACATTTGATTCAGGTTTGTGTTTGTTACGTAAATATCCAACTCAAGCCGTTAATTTACCACAGTTGGCTACCTCAGCTGCTAAACTTTTGGAGTGTTTGCTGTTGATTAGTTACAACAATAACATTGTACTCGCCAAATGAATCATCACTAAAAAGAGGTCTAATGAGGCAAGAAACACCAGCAGTCCTACAGTCATACAAACCCCTGGGTTGGATAAACTTATTTGAAGGAAGAAAACAAAGTGAGCGGTAAAATCATTACCTAAATTGAAGCTCATAAACATCCATCACAGTTTACAGATCAACTTCCCGCATCAGTTCTGTGAAATGAGGGATTGTTCCAGACATTTCTTTCACTTCTAGTTTTAAAGTGGTTTAGATAAAACTGTTTTTTTTTACATCCTGACCATTTATTTTTCTTACCCAGGCAGACTTTGGTTTACGGATGGCGCCATGTTCCAGATCTCAGCAACCTTGTCTCCAAGACATTATGTTTATACCAAGTGGCAACCTCTGTGGCTGAAAAATGAAGCCAACACAAAAGTAACAAAAGTTGCAGTTCCTAGAACGGCCACTTGAGGCTGGCTTCAAAAGCGAGTCAATCTCCATAAGGCCCCATATTAAAATGCCCAACTTTACAGCACAAATAAAGAGTTTTGGTATCTAGAGCTAATTTGCCCATTTGTGACAACTGTAAAGGGGGTGATTTGTTATATAAGCCACCCATTTAAATTATATTAAAGCTTAAAGTTATGCAAAATTATGAACATGGCTACTTTGAGTGTTGGCTGTTTTCAGTATGCAGGCTCCACCCCATTTGCCCAATTTTGGATTATATCCAGGAACCTATGGGTGAGGCCATGGAGACTACATCCATTTTGATTTACACAAAATATGTTATATAGGCTACTACAAATTTGCAGCATTAATATGTTTTAAAAAAAAAACATATGAACATAAAAAGCCACGTTGTTAAAATATTGATATTGGTATCTGCAACATGTTATTTGACAGTGTGTTTCATGTGTTTTATTAGTTATCCGCCTGTAGTAAGTAAAGCACAATTAACATTTTTATGGTTATGTTTAGGCAGACAGGAAGTGACTCAGGATGCAAAGTTCCAAACTTTGTACGCCCAGCATCCACCCCAAATGTTATATATATATAAATGTTAATGATATAGCAAGCAACTCTGACCACCTCTTTAACAATGTTATTAAACCTTCAGTAACGCTTTTGTCTTCGGAGCAGTAGAAACACAATATATGAACATATGTATATGTGAACACAATATATATTTGACTTTAAACCTTTGAACCTCACAAATGTAAGTCCCTCTCTTTTAGTCTTTTTTGGTCTCCCCAAACTCCGACAACCACACTACAAAATCTGTCCAGCATTGAGAATGTGACTGGAAAAATAATTGCAAGTGAACATATCTGCAGGCACGAATGACACTGTATTGAAGAATGAGTGTATTCAAATTAGTAGATAAGTTTGAAAAAAGTTGTAATAAGCCAAAAATGGTCCTTCAAGAGTCATGACTGAAGTCATCACACAAAAGAAAACAGTAATGGAGGGCAGAGAGACTGTTTTTCTTCGCGTTTCCTCCTGATTGTGTAGATAATCAGTGTTAATTAGGGAGATACATTTCATAATTTGCCGGAGCACTGGGAATGTGGGTGGATGGTGCCATCAATTTTCCCTTCCCATTCATTCCAGTTTGTATCAGCTGGCAAACAAACCCATGCTGAGCCACAGTACCCTGACCTAATTACACGCTTTGGCTGCAGTCGTACAGGGAGAGTGGGAATACTGTGGGGAATTATGTGGGCCAGTGCAGTGTTTTAATAAAGTCTATAAAAGGTAGAGCTGGTCCCACCTGCAGAGCTAGGGGTTTCCAGCGCATGTTCTTCAGCAGAGCAGGAGCAGAGCTGAGTGTGCTCTGTGGACGCTTCTTCAGGGTCAGGGACACAACGCCTTTATCGGCCCTCAGCGAGCCAACCAGGTTACGTAACTGCCAGCCCACCTTTGAACGGGAGACAGAGGGTCAAAGCACGCACTGACATGCTGGCAAGTTATCATCATCTGGATAATGAACAACACAATAACAGCATTACATTTATATTCAGCCTGCAGTTTGAATTCGGTCCACGTCGTGATTGGATCTCGCTTGTTGAGCCTTCTGTGCAAGGCAAGTGGGTGTGGAGGTGGTAAGTCTATCTATAGAGCTTTCATGTGATGTAACCTGCCCTCAATTTGAAAACAAACGCATCTCATCATATATTTCTCTACATTTTTAGCCACTGTTTTCACAAAACCATGCCAGCACTCCTTGTTTGTAGGGCATCTGTGAACAATAACCTACTGTATACAAAAATAAAAATGGCTACTATATGGTGTGCTGTTCAAGGCCTTTTAGTTATCTGTGCTTTGTGTGGAGATATTTTCTAATCACTATCTTAATTGCATTTGTTCTGAGATCTGATCATAATGCAAGAGGAGGTGCAGAGAAGGTTAGAGGATCTGATTACACTAATTGCAATGCGTGCTGCTTGCATTTGCACCTTGTAAAAGTAAGTGCACAATCTGCTGTATAGATGTAAACAGACCGGTTGCCCTGCCACAAAAATTCAAGACACATAATTGCAGCTGGCTTTAACTACCAGTTTGACTGACAGGTCTTATAATACTCGATAACACCTTGTGAAAAAAGGTGGAACATCTCAAGGGGTTTATCCTGACACCTCATAAATTGGAACGATTAGAAAACACTAGATAGCAAAAAAAAACGTTATGTAAAGTTACTGTTCATATTCAATTCAATTCAATTGACTTTTATTTGGTTATGCCACCAATTCATAACAGGTAAGTTTATCTCACGACACTTTTCAAATAGAGCAGGGTCCCTTAGACGAACTCTTTTAACATTTACAGAGACCCAACAGTACCACCATGAGCAAGACTTGGCGAAGGGGGCCAAGGAAAAAAGCTGCCTTTTAACATATGATTCTGCTGGATGATATTAACTTTGCAATAACTGATTTTTTTTTGTCAACTTGAGACATGAGAGAGGACAACCTGGGAACACAACACTGTCGTGTTATTACTTTTTATGCTTCAATTAACTTTTCTCTTTAGCTATGGTTTTTTGGTTCTGTCACCACTCCTGGAGGAAAGTATCTGTCTCTTGTAGCTTGCTTAAATGCTCCACTATGTTCACAGTTGTCTCTAAAGGTATGTGTCCCACAGGATCAGTGAATTGTCCACACTTCCATTCACTGTCTTTTGAGCAAGCCGTGAATGCTCTGCGTAGTTTTCACAGTGGCATTTTTTGAAAAGAGGGGTCCGCCAGTGCCCCTCATGTTGCATTAACTGAGGTAGCGGGTCAAAGCTACTTTATAGACTATGCTTTTATGCGACATTTTAAACTAACTGTTGTCGATCTAAAAATGAAGACACGTTCAGCAACTTCCAGCATATTCTTTGTATATGAGAGACAGTTTCCAAATGAGCCGCACTGGCTGATCTGTTTTAGAATCCCAGAGCCAGGCAAGTCCAATAAGGTGCAGCCCGAAGTCAGAGTTCTGGAGCCCCTGTGGACACTTACCACCATGGTGTCTGTCTGCCTGGGTTTGGTGCCCCAGAGTTGGGAAGGTATACAGTGGGTTTTTAATTTTGACTTTTGGCCTTTTTGAACCAGTATTATTGAAACCCTGTAGTACAAACCAGACTTGAAGATTGAGCCAGAGCAAAAAGATACCCTTCATACATAATGCGAGCTGGATAAGAACCCACCTCAAACACACCTTTTAAAGACTCCTTGTGAAGCACAAGTGCTAGATAGATCCTTTGATTAAATGTCTGCAGTTTATTTAATGAGTGACCCATGTCCCTGTCATTTATCCTCATATTCAAAACCCCCTATTTCGAGAAATACCGCCCTTTAAAGGAAAAGTGGTTTACCCTCAGGGCTGAATGCGGGAATAATGTGCGTTACCAGCACATCTGTATTAGGGAAATATCTTAAGGAAAGATGTATATAGTGGAAATACATACTTAACCCATGGATGACTTATCCTAATAAAGCGACTATTATTTTATGATAGTTATACTACTCTCCCTTTTCTTAAAAAAAAAGACCAAGCAAGGAGGGTCCACAATATTGTTTTATATGGCCAATTTAACCCATCGTGGCTTTTTGGTAAGGTTTTTACTTACCT